ACGCATTGGAAAAGTCTGCTGTTAGAGACCTCTCAAAAGTACTGAAAAGCAACGCTGTCAATCTGGAGACTAAGGTGCATGCCTCATATAGGCCATAATCTTTGCAGTTACTTGCTACGCATCAGAAAGCTGGACACGGACTAGGGATGATAGAAGAGAGTTGAGGCCTTTGAGCTGTGGTGCTGAAGAAGAGTATTAAATATACCATGGACTGCTAGGAGAACAGACAAGTTTGTCCTGAAGAGGGTGAAGCCAGGCTACTCCTTGGAGACAAGGATTCTGAAGCTCCATCTGACATACTTTGGACATGTCACAAGGAGGGACCAGTCCTTGGAGGGGGACGTGATGCTTAGGAAGTTGGAGGGACAGCACAAGAAAGGAAGACCCAAAGGATTGTTTCAGTGACTGGTGTAATAGGGGTAGGTGTGTCAGAGACAATAAGACTGGCACAGGATAGAGGAGGGTTCAGAGCTGTTGTACACAGGGTTGCTGTGAATTTCAGGCAACTCGATGACACATAACAACAACAACAACAACAACAACAACAACAACAACAACTACTACTACTACTACTACTACTATTACTACTACTATTTTGATGACAAGGATTCTCAGCCTTTGGGGCTTCTCTCTTGAAACTTTCCCATTTAAAAAGGCTCCAATTTTGGGTGGTTTTTTTTCTGCATACACCCCCCTCTATCTCCCTGTGTGGCTGTGAAGCCAAGGTTGGTGCAACCTTTTGTAGCAGCCTTGCAGCCGTAGACCATCAGAGTCGCTGGCATCTTATCAATCAAAGTTACTTCATTTGGTAAAGTAAGTAAGCCCTGTTTCTTCTTGGAGATCATGTTCAGGGAGGGTGCTCTCTTTCCAGCACTTGGAATCCTCCTGATCCCGTGGAGAACTCATGGTGTAGAGTGTGCATGTAAAGAAGTCATTTAGATAGGTCATCTGGCCCATGAACCCTATTATTGATTTCTGCAACTGATTACTCTTCAGCTTTTTTACGTTTTGTTTTCATGTTCTCACTCTTCATTAGTTAAGAATGAAAGGACCCTCCAGGGGACGAGATAATGTTTAAAGAGGTCTTTGCATTCCTGACAGAACACATGTTTCTCTCAAACGGAACAAAATAATATGCATATAAAACACTTAGCCAGTGCCTGGTGCATGGTGGGTGCTCCAGGCAATATGAGCCATCAGGGATATGGCTGTGGCCCGCGTCAGCATCTTGTGGGGCTGGCTGAGGGGAGCGGGAGGCTTGCAGGAGAAAGCATTTCTGAATTTGCATGCAGACGAAAGTTGGTGACATACTCCAGCTCTCAGGAAAGTGACCCAACTTGGCTTGTTTTCTGAATGGACACAGCATTGCAAGAAAAATCTCATTTGCATAAAGATGGGGAGTTAGTTTTTCCTAGAAGCTGCATGTCAGGACCCAGAAGAAAGAGGCATTTCTTACTAATGATTAATCAGCAGTATCTCAAAGAAGCAAGAAATTAATTCAGGAAATGAGATCCTAATAAAACAAGGGGAACGCAGACGTCCAAAAGTGGTCCCACCCAGTGAACACTGACAGCATTTCCTCTTAACCACCTGCATAAAAGTGACCGGCCCTCTCCACATGGTGCAGAGGCTCCAGAGAGGAGACAGGGAGACACCAGGGGCACTTGGCAGACACCCCATACTCTGAACTGCTCTCCTGGCTTCAGCCTTAGTAGCTGCAGGTGAGTGACTAGCTTGCTTTGTGTATGTCTTTGGTCTTCCAGGTTGCTGGGTGTTTTGTAGGATGGGGAGTTGTACGCCACGCAGGGATGGGCTTTCTGCTATCTTATGTTCTATCAGAAGAGATGGGAGAGTGAGAAGGAAGAGAACAGTGAAGAGGGAGAGAAGGAAAGAAAAATCTAATGTTAGTTAGATTAGTTCTGTTTACTTGGTTAATGTTAGGGAGTTCTGGTGGCTTACTGGTAAGGAGTTGCACTCTCAACCCAAAGGCATGCAGTTCAAATCCATCAGCTGCTCTATGGGAGAAAGAGAGACCATCTCTTCCAATGTGATTTCCTGTCTCTGGAAATCTGGTGGAGGGTTAGCTATGGGTTAGTTCCGATGCCAGGGTGTATAACAACAACAACAATGAATGGTACTTTTTTGTTCTGGAAACTGTGCTGGGTGTTACCTTTTAAAAGCCTCACAGTTCTTTGCATTATTACATCTCTCTTTCAATGTAGGGAACACCATTTTTGCAAACCCACTGCTGTGAAGTCAGTTCTGACTGGTAACGACCCAGAGATCGAGAAGGCTGTGGATCTTTAGGGAAGCGGATCACAACATCTCTCCCTCTTGGAACTCCTGGTGAGTTAATCACTGGCCTTTTGGCTAGCAGCCACTTGTTTTAACTACTGCACCACCAGGACACCTCAGCTGATTCAGGAGACCCCCAGAAAGGAGTGGTTTCCAGTCTGGCTGGTGTTGCCGGGACCTCCAGTTGTGAGGCCAGAGAGCATTACCACCTGGTTCCAGGGGAGTGTGTCACAAGTGGGTGCTTGTGTACTGGCCGGGGACTTGGGCTCCATTAGCCTCAGCCGCTGGCTGCTCAAGCATGCTGGGCGGGTTATTGAACATCTTGTTAGTTCCTTCATTACTTAAATGAGCCTCAAAACAGAACAGAACTGCAGGCCTGAAATGAAGTATCTGGCGCAAAGGGCGGGTTTGATAAATGTCAGCTACTCTTATCTGAAACAGCCAAAATTTCTGAACTCTTCTCCCCTCTGCAAATGCCTGAGAGGCTCCTGGCATAGGGTGACAACCCTTACAAGGAATTTCACTCTATTTGAAAAAGAAATCAAGGGTGAGTATCAAGAGGCAGTTTCCCTCTGCTTCTGTGGTAAAGGGCTCTCTTCCTACTCACTCCTCGAAGCTGCGCTGACCTCTGTGAGGAGGACAAAGCACCGAGAGACTTCCTACAGATAGGCCAGTGGGAGATATTGGCTTGCCAGGCCAGACAGAGAAGGGCTTACAAAAGGGAAATCGGTCTTTTTGATAGACAGATACTCATTGAGAGGGAATGATGCTAAGTAGAAATGAGGCAAAATCCTTTTCTAAATGGAATCTGGAAACTTTGGGCAATACATGGGGTTAACGTGTGTGGGGCTGCTAACCAAGTCCCCCTGGAAATTCTGTAGAACAAAGGGCTGATAATCTGTTTCTTTCTTTCTTTTTTCTTTTTTTAAATTTTAATGAAAGTTACAGAGACTTAGGGTTTCCATTCATTCATTTTTGCACTTTTCTCCCTGTCCACCCCCCCCCATTCACTCTTCTCCTTGAAAAGTAAAAGAAAAACTCTTTTGTTGCTATGTAATCTCCCCCCCCGTCCCCCAAGTCCATTCCACTAATCAGCCTTCACTCTGGACTCCTGTCATGATAATAATACCCAATTATATGTCCCTTTTAAACAGTTCTTTCCCTCATCTGTTTCAATGCAGTACATCATTCATCCCCTCCTGCTCTGTCTTCCCTCAACCCTGATGTTAGTTCCATTTTACAACAGTGGTACTGTGCAATAGTTGTCCCTTTGTGACAGATACTTCACTCAGCATAATGTCCTCCAGGGTCACCCATTTTGCAGAATATTTCGTGATAATCTATTTCTTAAAAACTCAACCACTGAGAACCCCGTGAAGCTCTGTTTACTGACACACACTATGGGGTCACCGGAGGGTCCCCATGAGCCAGAATCAACTAAAGAATAACTGGTGAATGGGTTAATTTTTGATCTCCTGATAAAGGAGCCTGGACATCCTAAGGACAATTTGGGGAGTAGGGTAGGTTCACATTCTCAACTCTCTGTTCTTTATTGTCACACTCTGAAGCCCCCTCATCTGTTTGGTGTCACTCTCCGCACCCTTTGTCCCTCCACACACACTGCTGGCTGACACGAGCTCGCTCGTGTGGGGGGAAGAGGCTCCAGCAGAGAGGCATTTGTGTCATGTGTTAGCACAGGCTTTACCTTGTAAGGCTCAGCTCTGTGGGTGAAACTTGCACTGATGTTGGCAAGAGCCAAGGCAAAATGGCTCCATGACCTGCACAGTTATGTTTGGTGCATTCTCCTGAGTGTGCATTATGTAACTTGAATTGGTGAAAAATGAAAAGGAGGGAAGGGGAGAGAGAGAGAGAGAGAGAGTGCAAGAGTGTATGCTAAAAGAGGCAGAAAGCAGCTCTGGGGACTACATACAAGCATGGTGCTCTACTCCTTAGACTCCTTACTCACTCACTGGGGGGGAAGCCCCCCACAGGGGCTGCTGTCAAGGGACATGTGTTGCCTCCCTTTCTCTTCTCCTCTAGAAGGCATGATCTGCAAAGTCAGAAGTGGTCTGAAGCAGATGCACATTAGAGGTAGATAAAAAGGATGGAATAAAGAATGCTGTCTGTTTCAGGGACAAATAAACAAACCAACCAAAGGAACTGGAATGCAATTTTGTGGTTTTTAAAATCGGTTGCGTAAACTCCTCGGTGTTTTACCAGCCCAGTTTTTCTCCTCTGCTTCATTTATTTAAAAACTGGGTTTCCCCCACCCCCCACTCCTGTCTCCCAGTTGAAGAAGGGAGCTGTGTTGAGTCACATGGACACAAACATGCATCCCATGATGGGCTGTATCATGCGAAGGGTGGAAATGAGAACATGGAGAGAAGGGGAGCGCAAATTAAACTGATGTAGCAAGGCCAGAAGAGAAGGCACAGAGCCCTGAAAGGCCCCCCTGGCTGAAGCTGAGGTGTTGAGCCTCGTCTCTTGACTGTAGCCTTATGTATCTTGAAGTAAGTTAAACTGATGTAGCAAAGGCAGAAGAGGAGGCCCAGAGCCCAGAAAGACCCCTGGCTGAGGTGCAGAGGCTGCTCTCTTGGTTGCAGCCTTCTGCACCATGACGTGTGAAGGAGACCCAGGCAGGGTCTTCTCTTCCCTTGCTGTTTGTTGGCTGGGCAGCTAGCTGACTTCCCTACCTCCTGCAGGACATGAAGGCACAGCATGGCTTCCTCTACCTCCTGGGTGCGATGCTCTTTCTGTGCTCACTGCATGCCCGAAGTCTCAAGAGATGTCCCCTTTCCATGGACACGAACACCGTGAAGAAGAGTTTCCAAGAAATCAAAAGCACCATTGTGAGTATGAGTTTGGGGTGAAGATTTCAGCAATGGACTGTGCCTTTCCCAAAATCTTAGTTGCCATACACAGCAAGTCTTTTGTGTCTCAGAACAGTGAGTACTCATCACTTGTGTCTGTTCTTGTGTTTCCTTCTACAGCAAGCGAACGACACTTTAAAGAATGTCACTATCCTATTTGATCTGCACAGCATTAAGGTATTGTTCATTCTTGACTTTTTTTGGTCTTATTGCAGTGACCCTGAGCTGAGAATCCCCACTCTTCCTTCTTGAATCTTTCTGTCGGCTCCAGAGTTCTCCTCTGTCACCTGGTATGCCTCAAGGCACACTGAGATTCCAAGACTTGAGATGGTATTAAAAGAGGTGTTACTTATCCTGAGAGTGCCTGGAAGAGCTAGAGACTCAGAGGACAGGGTTTCTGTGACTTGGGGTGCCTCTTGAAGGTTTCATCAGGGAAGTAAGAAATGGACAAGTGACTTTAAAGTCGACTAAGTTGACTGTCTCACATACTTTGGGCATCTGGCCAGGAAAGACTGGTCTTTGGAGAAGGATATCATGCTTGGAAGGGTGGAGGGACAGCTCAGGAGAGGAAGACCCAGGATGAGATAGATTGATACAGTAACTGGGGCAACGGAATTAGTGTGTTGGAATTCGTGAGACTGGCTCAGGACACGGCAGGGTTTAGAACTGCTGTATATAGGGTCTCTATGCGTCACAGGCAACTTGATGGGACGTAAGAACAGCAGCAACAACAATATATTATATTAGTTGTTTTTTATTTAAGCTTCTTGTTTAGAGTCAACAAGACCTCATGGAGGGCCTGTATTTCAATGCTGATTGTTATATTTTGGAGGAACATTCTTCTTAGTAGTACAGCATTCTTCTGTCAGTTTGCTATACTGAGGTAACCTGGGGTTGCTGTGATGTTGAACCTGTGCCATTGGGGTGTCAAATGTCATAAGGATTGCCCATGGAGGACAGTGTTTTGTGAAGCTCCCAGTTTAAGACAGGTTTGGAAGCAGGAGTGACATCCACTTCCTAAACAACATGCCTCCATAAACTCTGAGCTTTGAGAAACGACGGTAGTTATAGAAAGGCTTCAGGCCTTTTGTTCAGAGGGTTGCTATGAGTCATGCTCGACTTGACGGCAATGAACAACAACAACAAGGTTCCAGGATTGTGCAAAAAGAGAGGAAAGGTTTTGGGGAGCATTAGAGGATGGGAACAAGGCCAGCCTTGCAGTGAGGAGTGTAAAGAAGCCTGGTGGGGGATGCCGAGGGGGTCATTTTCACAAGGACATTGAAGAGCAGGCCGAGCCTCAGTCTTATATTATAGACAACAGGGAGCTTCTGAAGGTGTAGAAGCTAAGACATTGTATGACCACAGAATGTTTTAAAAAGACTGTCCGGTAAGGTTTTTGGACAGCTTGAGGCAAGAAAGACAGTGAGGTCTAGTCTAGTGAGTCCAATAGTCTAGATAAAAGACTATGAGACTATGTGCTACTAAGCAGTTGGCTATGAGGTGATAATTCACCCTACAAAAGGGACCCCGAGAGAGATGCTCTTTAAAGTGAGACCAGACATAACACTGGTGCTGTACCACCAGCTACACAGCGTGTCTGTGACGAGTTAATTCCTCCTCAGTCTTCTCTGCGGGTGTGCGCGATGGACACCTTCATGTTTCTAGAGCAGTGTTCAGCCTGGTTTATTTGTGGCAAACAGATGTAGCCACTTAGTCAACAGTCTTCCAGCCAGCTCTGTTACAGCCTTATGGGAAGGGACAGAAGGAAGGGACCCAAAAGATGATTTCTTCCAAAGCCCATAATTTTCAAATGAGAAAATTGAGACCCGGAATGGGAAAATACGTCGTGAGTGACCGAACCAGTAATGGACGCCCCCAGGTCTGGTGCCTGAGCTCAAGGTTCTTCCCCTCTCAAGTTCTCCAAACAGCTGATGCACAGTAAGGAAAAAGGATAGCCAAGGATTGAGATCTTCATCACATTTGCGGCTCACTGCCCTTCTTGGCTTCTTTTAACTGTTCCTTTTCTCCTCCTACCATAATATTTGAGGAAACAAATGTGTAATGTGCTGTTCCTTTTGTTAAGAAGGCAACAGCAGGAGCAGAACTTTTTATGTTACAAGTTGTTTGCCCCGTAGGAAAACTTGGCTGTGGAGCCTGAGAAGCCTTTCTCTTTTAATGCTAATGAAGATAGAAGTGCTATATACTGTCGACCATGTCCTAGACAGACTTTTTTAAAAGCTGTAACTCATCCATGCAATCCCTCTTAGGCACTCAGAGCAGGCTGTGAGCTGCTAGAAGGAACACCTGGGGCCTCCCCTGAGGGGTCCTACGCACTACAGTCAGGGCCCTACCTCACTGATGATCTGATTTCTGCAGCTGTCAGTGTCCATTCTTACAGATCTCAGAGTTAGTCAGATGATGCCTGCTGCCCAAAATCTCTGTAAATTTTCATTAACATTAATAATAATAATAATAATCACACACGGAAGGGGGCCAACTGGGTGGCCTGGATGGCTGCACGGAGCACCCTTGGCAACTGAGGGAAGACATGCCTTGCGCCACAGCTGGTATGCAATAGTTATTGAATAAGTGTGTGTTTGCTGGAGATGGTGCAGAGAAGCAGATTTCAGTGTGATTTAAAAGAAATACTTTATGAGGAAGCTGTTCAGCCATTTGTCCTCTCAGAACCAGGGTGTTAAATTGATAGGTTTGTGCTTTTTTTTTTTTTAAAAAAAAAAAGGCAACACACAGAACTGAGAAGCCTGATTCCTGGAAGGATTTAAGCGGAAGTCAGTGGTGACAAGCTGCTGTAGGACTTTACCTTGTGATTGGACTCTGGGCCGCAGCCCTTGTTGATTTAGAAGGATTTAGAAGGAATGACCTCTGTAACATAGTGTGTAACAGGCTGTGCTGCTCACCAGAAGGTCAGGGGTTCAAATCCACCAGTTGCTCCAAGTAGAGTAAATTAGGCAGTCTCCTCCCATAAAGATTCACAGCCTCAGAAGCCTGATGGAGAATCAGTGGAGTCAGATCCTGTTAGCGCCAGTGGTGTGCAGAGAGAGGGCTCTCATCCCAGCACCCTCCTCAGACAGCTCTGATGTGGCAAAGGGCGTGATCACTCTGACACCATTACTGTTTTCAGAAAAGGACATTCAATTCTCTTGCTCCTTGCTGCCCCTAACCCCATAGGCTGTTTTGGTCTTGAAGATAACCAAAGAAGGGGGCCTCTGCGCACTTCTCTAATCTGTGTCTGTAGCCTGTAGACATGTGCTGTGTGACCTGGGAGCTCCTGGAATTCTACGTGAAGAGAGTGTTCCCCTTCCGTGAGGAGCTAGATCTCCACATCTCGAGAGAAGTCAGCAGCATTTCCAACTCCTTCCTTCCCCTGCAGAGGACTGTGAAGCCCTGCGTGAGTCACCCCCTCAGAAGGCCAACCATCTGCTCCCCGTCTGCCCCGGGAGGCTCAGGACATGCAGGTCCCAGCCAGCCTCTGACCCGGCTGCTAGAGTCAGACAGAGTTCTCACTGCTGGTGCAGTCTGTAGAGAGGGACGCTGCAAACTCAGAGGCCCCACTTACCTGGCAGCTTGAATCCACCTCAGGAGACAGACAGACTTCTCCTGTGCGATTGACAGCTTCGGAAACCCAGTGGAAGATCAGCTAGGGGCCAGGTTCCAACTTGATAGGAGTGAGTCTTTTGAGTTGTAGCTGAGAGTACTCTCAGAAACCAGCTCCATGGATTATCCTCCTAGGGTGACCAATTATATCAGGGTATCCTTTAAATGACTTTAACCATGGCAGGACTGAGATGGGAGAAAGGCTATCAGTGACCCCAAGCTTAGCATAAACATACAAGGTGTTTTGTTTTTCTCCTTACATCCTTTTTAAGAATACAACCTTCTACTTTCTATGTTAGTTAACCTCTCGGTAAGTGAAAACTAGTTGCTATGGAATCACAGCTAGTGGGTGACTCCTAGTAACACCCTGTGTGTTAGTGTGGAGTTGGGTCCCTGGATCTTTCAATGGCTAGTGTTGGGAATTAGATCACCAGACCTTCTCTCTGAGGTGTCTCTGGGCAGACTCAAACCACCAACCTCTTAATGAGTCACATGTGTTAACAATTTATACCACTCAGGGGCTCCAAACTCTTGGTAGTTCCATGATAAAGTTTATTCCTAAGAACTGCATATAAGTACATTGTGATCTAGTAAACAAACATGAGACATAAATCAAAGCAATGGCTAATTAAAAGAACTAATGAACTGAGGAGGAAACCTGGGTTCTATCCCCATCACTGCCAATGAGGTCTTGTGTGACTTTGTGAGTTGGAATTTCACCTCTCTGGGCCTCAGGTTCTAAAGTTTTTAGGAAGAGTAGTGGTTCCAATCAAAGGGGTTCATGAAACCAGTTCTTTAAGCAACTGAGCCAAGAAATATTTGTTGAGCATCCTTGTGCCAACTAACAGGTTCACAGAGTAATGATGGCAGGACAGAGAGGTGGCTGCCTTGTTGGTGCCCATGGTCCTGTGGGCTGTGAATCTGGAGAGTGAAAACTCTGAGCAAACCTAGGGCAGCGTACAAGGAGACCTACTTTCCCTTGGCTGCACCTCCCTAGTTTACGTTGGAGTCCCACCTTGGAGGGAAGGAAGAACCAAGGTGAGAAGTTCTGACCATACTGTCTCCCTTCAACACAGAAGGAGCAGAAGCTGTGTCCTTGCAGCAAGGAAGCCACCAACGTGACCAGAACTATCCACAGCAACTATAATCAGGTACGGGGCCAGGAAGAGGATGAGGAGGACCGGAGGTGGGAGCCTGGTGGGGAAGGTGCCGTCCCTGAGCTTCAGCCCCCATCACTTCATGTCCATTCATTCTCCCCGCAAGGGCTTCCTGCAGCCCTGCCCCACTCTGTCTGCAAAACGTGTGGGTCTCACCTGATTTGCTATTTTCCCAACATCTCCTTCCTCACCACTCTCCCATTTCCTTAAGCTTTAACATATCTGATAAGATGGACTGATGCAGGAAGAGCAAAGAGCTTTGATGAGATTAAGCTACTATGTGTGGAACAGGAGACCCTGTGTGTCAAAATGGTTAAGGGCTCAACTAGTAACCAAAAGGTCAATGATTCAAGTCCACTGCCTACTCCGTGGGAGAAAGATGCATAGCTTACTTCAACGTAATAAAGATTGACAGCTTGGAAATGCCCTGTGGGCAGTTCTAGTCTGTCCTATATGCATCCTTTGAGTTACAACCAACATCACATGACAGTAATTACCTGAGTAGGACAGGTGGGCCTGAGTGACATCGTTGAACACTCCACTGCTAGCCGGAAGGTTGGCCTTTGAAACCCTCAGAGGCTTCTGGAAGCCAGGCCTGCCATCTGCTTCTGTGAAGTTACAATCTTGAAAACCCTCTGAGCGGGTCTGCTGGGGCACGTGGGCCTGCCATTCCCCAGAGTAAATGCTGGAAAAACAGAGAGCATAGCAACGTGTGTGGATCCCGATTCCTGTAAAGTGTGTCCTGCCGTCAGCATTCAGTGGGTTGTGCTCCTAAGACTTCACTGTGCATGTGAATCATGTGACGGTCTTGTGAAAGTGCAGATTCTGATGCAGGAGGGCTCGAGATCCCACATTTCGGCCACACTTTCAAATGATGTAGCACTTTCAAAAACATGGAGGTGGGGGGGTGGGGTCCGTGCAGGGACGTGAGGTCGTGCAGTCCAGAGGGAGTGGTTCTCCCAACCCAAACATCATGCCTTTCTGGAAGTTCAAATCTACTGTCTGCTACTCAGAAGAAAGGTGGGCAGTCTCCTCCCATGGGATTTACAGCCTTTCAAACCCAATGGAGAGCTCTGAGTCAATGGCAGTGAGTGAGGAGTCCCAGAAAGTGCTCGTTCTTGGAGAGGCTCTGTTATTATTGTTGTTGTTATGTGCCATCAAGTTGCTTGTGACCCATAGTGACCCTATGTATATTAGCTCTGAATCCTGCCCTACCCTGAGCCAATCTCATCCTTTCTGACAGATTTAACCTCATTTCTGCAGTCACTGAGTTAATCCATTTCATTCTAGGTCTTCCTTTCCTACACTGTCCTCCAACCTTTCAGGATAATATTAATAATAGCATTGATAAGAACAGCTAGTGGATTCAAACTGCATGCCTTCAGTATTGCAGCACAGCTACTTACCATTAGGCCACCCGACCACCCTCTGGGAGAGGATCTGTAGGATAGTATTAATAACAGTGTCTAAAAGTCACATCATGGCTCTTGCCATGAACCAAGTATTGCTCTAAGCACCCTACATGTTTTAATGTGTTATTTCCTTACAGTGTTGTGACATACCTGTGATTACTGACGTTTTATAAATTAGAACACCTGTTGTCACTGTTAGGTGCTGTTGAGGTGGCTCCTTTGTGTGACAGAATGACAGCTGGCCTGACCCTGACCAACCCTCACAATCTCTGCATGCTTAACCAGTTGTCAAAGCCATTGTGTCAGTTCCTTGCGTTGAAGCTCTTCCTCTCTTTTGCTGACCTTCTTTCTTTCTCAAGCCTGGTGTCTTTCTCCGGGAACTGTCCTGATAGCATGCCCAAACTATGTGAGATGAAGTCCCACCAGCCTTGCTTCTAAGCAGTTGATTTTTCAGAAGTAGCTTGCCAGAACAGTCTTGTAAAGCATCTCTGAGTAGACTTGACGCTCCAGCCTTTAGGTTACCAGCTGAACACAGTAACCGTGTGCACCAGCAGGCACAAACACATCAGGTCTCTTTGCTAAGTTCCCACCTAGGCAAGGATGGTGAGGCTTTGTCCTTGGACGAGGACTTATGCATGGAAGGGCAGAGGGCCAGCAAAGGAGGAGAAGACCCTTAATGGAATGGATTGACATAGTGACCACAACGACAGGCATAAGTATAGAAATCGTGAAGGTGGTACAGGATCTGGTGAGTTTTCATTCTGTTGTTGCTGTGTCAACTGTTAGGATACTTGGGCCTGTTCTGAGCTGAAGAGTTGGAGCTGGCTCACTGGGCCCTAAGCACAACAGAGTTCTCCTAGGTACTGAGTAGTAGAAGTGAGGTTTGATCCCATGCAGTCTAGCTTTGGGGGTTTTCCAGGTCTAGGAGAGGCAATGATGTCTCTCTGGAGATTAAGGTGTGTCTGATACAGGCCATGGTCTTTGCTATAACTTGTTATGCATCAGAGAGTTGGACAATGACTAGGGAGGATAGAAGGAGAAATGATGCCTTTGAGCTGTGGTGCTGGAGAAGAGTATTGAGAGTAACCTGGACTGCTAAGAAAACAAACAGATTCATCCTGGAGAGGGTTAAACCGGGCGGCTCCTTGGAGGCAAGGATGCTGAGGCTTCATCTAACGTATTTTGGACATGCTGTAAGGAGAGACCAGTCCTTGCAGAGGCACATCATGCTTGGGAGGGTGGAGGGACAGTGCAGGAGGGGAAGGCCCTCTATGTGGTGGATTGATTCAGTGACTGGGATGATCAGGATGGGTGTATCAGAGACAGTGTGATTGGCACAGGACAGAGCGGAGTTTAGGGCTGTTGTACATAGGGTCGCTATGAGTCGCAAGTGACTTGATGGCACATAACAGCAACAACAACAACAACAACAACAACAGGAGAGGCTATTCCTTGGACATCATGCTTGGAAAGGTGGAGGAACGACGAAGGAGAGGAAGACCTTCAACCAGGTAGATAGATTGACATAGTAACCACAGCAATGATCTTGGGTGTGTCACACTGTGAGGTTAGCACATGACAGGACAGGGTTCAGAGCTATTGTTTATAGGGTCGCTCTAAGTCACACGCGATGGCATCTAATAATAATAATAGTCTACTCTGGTGGTGTAGTGGTTAACATAGTTGTTAGCCTCATGGTAGGGAGTTTTAGCTGCTTTGAGGGAGAAGGATAGTCTACTCCCATTAAGATTTATATGTTTTGAAACCTTTTGGGGCAGTTCTCCGCTGTCCTACAGGGTCCTGATGAGACAAAATGGACTTGACGGTTTGGAGTTTCTTAGTCTGTTGCGAAAGGAAAGAGGACCAAGCCAGGACACTTGGGTTCTGGTTCCAATTTTGCTGCTAATCATCTGTATGATACTGATTGGTAATCATCTGTGTGATTTCTATCCTTTGGGGTATCAGGGCTTTAATGGCAAATGGGAACAGCACACTCTCTCTCCCCATCACATAGCACCATAGAGATTAACATCTTCTGAGAAAGCAGAAGTAATAAAGGAATTTAGTGGGCAAAAGAAACCCACAGGAGGACCTGATGCCTCAGGCAAACAGGCTGGAAAAGAGAAAGCAGGGTGGGGGTGGGGAAGAAAAGGAATGAGCATTTTTAAATTTTTGTTTATGAGCAGTTGACATGATTTAACTGCCCGTTGGTGGGAGAAAATCCTGTTAGGAAAAGAATTTTGCATCTGCGTGCTCTGTCAACATATGTGACGACAGGGAGCCCTGGTAGCCTAGTGGCAAGAAGCTGCACTGCAGTCCCCCACATAAGTGATGGCGGGAAAGGAAAGCCTTGTGGAAAGATCTAGGGAAGGGCTGTCCAGGTGCGTACTTACGATGATGTCACTGGTTTCAGCTGGAGGTCCGAGCTGCGGCCATCAAGTCCCTGGGAGAGCTGGATGTCTTCCTCGCCTGGATCGACAAGAATTACCACCAAGAAACTTAAACAGTTTGATGCCAAGAGAACAACCCTCGTGGGGTTTCCCGTGAAAGACAGAGCGACTTTGAAGAGGAAGCAGATGGGAAAGACCAGCAAGATGGAGAAGACCACCATTTATAAGCACATAAGAATCTTCTTGAAGAAACCTCTTTAATTTGATCCTCTGGGACTAGGGTGTTGGAGGGAAGGTTCTGGGCTTGAACAGATCTCCCCTTACAACTCACCTCCCTGGCTGATCTCAGACCGTCTCAGTTCTCCTCACCTCCTTACCCCAAATCGTAATAGTCTACTGTTGTATTTATAATAGATGTATCTGTTGATGATCTCTGCTGGCCCTCCTGAGAAGACAGGGCTGACTTCCCCTAATTTATTGTAGGATTGTTTATCCCATGTCTGTGATGTGACCCTGTAGTGCATATTGTACTGACTGATTATTCTGAATAAAATCTGTTTTTTTATCAGTTGGTGGTTGTGTCTTCTGATTTAGGAAGTGTCAGTCAAGGATTCATAGATGGAGACTCCTGGAAAGAAAAGGAACTAATTATGAACATAATTATGCAAATGGGGCAACCAAGGACTAGAAAGGAGTGTGAATTTCCTCAGATGCTCAAAGCAAGTTAATGCACAAAAGGGCTCGAAAGTGGGTTTCTAGATTCTACCTCTACCCTCTCTCCCTCCACACAGTGATGGAGATGAGACTCAGGACTTCTGACCATTGGCTGCTGGATGTTGCTTCACTTCCAACCTGCTTTATCCCTCTATGCATCTGTCTTTCTCTCTTTGCCTCTTGCTGTCATTGCCTTTTCATTCCCCTGCCCCCATTTTAGCTCTGTGACATCACTTGTTTGTTTTATTGGCTTTCTATATTTTTGTGGATTTTTAAAAATCATTCTATTGTGCTTCCAGTGAAAACCTACATAACAAATTTGTTTCCAGTGACTAGTTCACACATTGCTCCACAACAGTGGCTACGGTCCCTGTGATGTGCAAGTCTCCCCATTTCCTTCCTAGGATTCTGGTTTCCGGTTTCTCCCTCCCTTCCAGCCTTCTCACCTTGGTTGTTATTGTTGGGTGCCATTGAGTTGGCTGTAACTCACAGTGACCCTGCATACACCATACACGGAACTGAACCCTGCCCAGTCCTGAGCCAACTCTGCTGTGCCCATTGGTGAAGCTGCTGTGGCAATCCGTGCCACTGAGATGCTTCTTTTTCCCTGACCCTCCACTTATCCAGCCACCAATGTCTTTCTCTGGGGCTTTACCTCTCCTTTTGATACCATGCCTGAAGAATGCTAAAAGTCTCACAATCTTTGCTCCTAAGGAACAGTATGGCTGTACTCCTTCTAAAATTTGTTTGTTCTTTGGGCTACTCATACTACATTCAATTCTTTTCAGTATCACAATACAAAGGCATCAATGCTTTGTTGTTGTTGTTGTTTGCTGTTGAGTCGAGCATGACTCATAGCAACCCTATGAACAAAAGGCCTGAAGTCTTTCTGTAACTATCATCATATTACTGCTGTAGTCTTCCTTATAGCCATTGTCCAACTTCAACATTCAAATAAGGTGATTCAAGATACTAAGGTGTGAACATGCACACCTTATCCCTCAAAGTGATATCCTTGCTCTTTAGCACTTTTTAAAATATTAGTTTATTTACAAAATTCAAATACATTGTTTTTCATGTAGGATATTTCCCATTTCCTCCACCACTATCCCTCCACCCATCAAATTGTGTGACCCTATGCTCTTTAGCACCTTTAAGAGATCATTTGTAGATTTGCCTAATGCAATATGCCATTTGATTCCTTGACTTAGGCTTCTCTGGAGACTGATGGTGGATCCAAGCAAAAGGAAATCCTTACCTTCAGTATTTTCTCCATTTAGCATGAGACTTATCTTTAGTTTCAGTAAATGTTACCATTTCAGTTTGTTATAGTTGGTTGTCAAAGAGGCACATTCTTCACAAGAGTTAGCGCTTATTTATTAGTTGTTGTTTGCCATCAAGTTAGAACCAACCTATAGCTGACCCTCCAGCAGGTTTTCAGAGATAATATTCACATGGGAGGAGACTGTCCATCCTTTTCCCCCAGAGCAGCTGGTAGATTTGAACTGCATGCCTTTGGGATTGCAGCACAGCTTCTCACCACTCTATTATATGCCTGAAACAAGGTCTCAGCAATAGTATTATTAAGGAAAAGAAGACACAGAATGGTACTCAAAAGTTACAGGGGGAAAAAAATAAACTTCACTATGTACACCATCTGGGGCACCCATGGTGGACAGTGTTGGCTGGAGCTTCCCGACTAAATCAAGCCTGGAAGCAGGAGCGGCATCCACTTCCAAAATGGCTTGTCTCTGGAAACTCTATGTACGAACAGTGCTCAGGCTGTTTGCTCATAGGGTCGCTGTGAGTCGTCTATGACTTGACGCATTAAACAACAACAACATGTACACCATCAGGATTATCATTACTAACAGACATCAGTCAATGAGTGGATACTTAGAGCGACAGGCAAGATGAACTGATATACATAAGGGAACGAGATTTATGACCACAACCATAGAGGTTTAGCAATGATATCTCTATGTATGTGTCTCTATGTGCTAGAAATAGAATCATGTATACATTAGAGCTAATGGGGCAAAGTAATGAAAACTGTTTAGTCAGAACCAAATATCTTGAGGGAGTGAGTCACTGAGCCTGGGAACTCAGGACTAAAGTCTTGAGGAACATCAAGGTCAATCACATAACATTGTCCACAAAGGTAATGAGTAGTGTCTGGAGTTTTCAAAGCTTGGGAGCAGCCATCTCAGGTGCACCTCTTGACCTCTCCTTGTTGGAGTGAAGAGGAATGAAGATGATCAAATATTAGTTAATTCAAAATCACAAATTTAAAAAATAAGGAAAAGATGTGCACATTAGTTACAAATAAGTTAAATATTTTTAAAAAAGAATATTAGCTCAAAGGAATCATGTTGTTATTGTTGTTGTTCGATGCCATCAACTCATGTATGAATCATAATAATCTTATGAACAACCTTTCTAAACACTGTCCTACCCCGTGCAGTCCATTGCCACAGTCACCGTGCCAACCTGGTCAAAGGTCTTCCTCCCCTTTGCTGTCCCTCCACCTTCCCAAGCACGATGTCCCTCTCCAAGGAGTAACCTCTCCTAGCAGCGTGGCCAAAGTACGTGAGATGAAGCTTCATCATTTTTGCCTCCAAGGAGCATTCTGGCTGCACCTTCTCCAAGACATATCTGTTTGTTCTTCTGGCAATCCCTGAGACAGTCAGCACTCTTCTCCAACACCACAGTTCAAAGGCACTAATTCTGTCATCCTTAGTCATTGTCCAGCTCTCAGATGCATAGCAAATGACTGAAAAGACCACGGCCTGAATCAGGAGCAGCTTAGTCCTCAAACAGACATCACTCTTCAGTAATTTGGAGAGGCCCTTGACTACAGACTTACCTAGTGCAATACATCTCCTGATTGCTGATACCAAATATATTGATCGTGGATCCAAGTAAGAAGAAGTCATTGACAGTCTCAAGCCTTCCTATGACTGTCAGGAGGTTACCTCTCTGTCCAGAGCTGAGGACTTTTGTTTTCTTGAGGTTGAGATGCAATCCATACTGAAGACTGCAGTGTTTAACCTTCTATAGCAAGTGCTTCAAGGCCTCTTTACTTTTAGCAAGCAAGGCTCATAAGGAATCATACATAGCCCATGTGAATTTTAGTCTCTGAAACCCTGAAACCAGGAAGAACTACATGATGCCTGGATCCCACTGCCTACTGCTCTGAAACGGATTAACTTGATAGAGTGGGAGAAAAATAAGAAACAAAACAAAAAAATCATAAAAAAATATGCTAGGCTTACTGGTCTGATAAGGAGCTCTGGAGGCTTAGTCTTAAGAGACTGCACTGCAATCCTCAAGGCACATAGTTTTAATCCACCAGCTGCTCTGTGAGAGGATGGACAGTCTGATAGAGACCGATGGGAACCCCAAGACTACAATCCTTAGTCACCCTGCAGACCTGGACCTGAAGTGACCGCTGTGGCCCAACATCTGGCCAAAGATTGGACAGTGCTGTAAGGTGATCTAAACATCAGCGACACCTTGCTTAGAACACTCAAGCATGTAAGGCCAAAAGAGAAGCCTTTGTTCAAGGAGAAATCTCTGAAAACAGTAAGGAATAAGGAAGAAGCACAAATTAAAACTGGAAATAAGACTTGAGAAAGAGCTGTGTTACAATGTGGGAATTGTAACCAAAGCCATGAAACAGAATTTATGTGAATTGTTGGTTAGAAAATAAGTTTGCCTAGTAAACTTTCATTGAAATTACAATTTAAAAAGGAAGACGTATTAGAAGAAAAGTGACCAGCTTGGAAATGGTTTCAAAAAATGTTAGAAGATTGCCTCAGGGCAATAATCTTGGGAATTCCCTTGGCCTCTTTCAGTTAAATAAGTCTGGCCCATTTTAAAAATTTTAAGTTTGTTGTGCATTTTTATACATTGTAAGGTGAATTTCTATCACGGTCTTTGTTAAAGTGGTCAGCAGTAACAGCAGAATTGCATCTTATTCTTCTGGTCTCAGGTGAGCAGACACTGCATTTCATTTGAGTCATTAGTCCTTTGGACTAATGCTGCTTTGAATCTACATTTTCTTTATTCTTCTTTACTCCAGGAGGAGGAGCCTAATCATTATTTTTTAGATAGCCATTCAAGATTTTGCTCATAGAATTTTTTTAGTGTTTCAATTTGAGGCTTGAATTTGTTCAATTCTTTCAGCTTGAGAAACGTGGAGTGTGTTCTTCCCTTAGTTTTCTTCCTTTCTTCTTTTTTTAAAAATTTTTTTCCCCCTCTTGGTAACAGCAGCCAGGAAATCAAGAGATGAATTGCATTGGGAAAGTCAGCTGTGAGGGACTTCTCAAGAGTACTGAAGAGCAACGATGTCAGACTGGAGACTAAGGTGTGCCTGATCCAGGCAATTACGTGGTAT